CAGGGAGAGAAATGTATTAAGATGTATGCATATGCACACGCATGCACAAACAAACAGACACGACCACAAGCACAAACATACACAGAAACCCTGGGAAAAACATTTCTTTTGATGTATTTAATGTATTTGATAAAATAATATTTGATAAAATATATTTAATACATTCAGACACATTCATGTGCACAACTACATAATATTACATACAAGTAACATATACATACAACATCAACAACAACAACATGAACAACAACATACAGAGAGAGAGAGAGAGAGAGAGAGAGAGAGAGAGAGAGAGAGAGAGAGAGAGAGAGAGAGAGAGAGAGAGAGAGAGAGAGAGAGAGAGAGAGAGAGAGAGAGAGGGAGAGAGGGGCGGAGGGAGAGGGGGGGGGGGGGGGACGACGATGATGATGACGATGAAACGCAGTAGAGGGGAGGATAAGACGAATACAGAAAATATATAGAAAATGTTTAATCCATTCTGGTGTAATTTGGGATGTAAAGGCAGGCAACTGAAACATTAAAATCTTTTTAGAATGGCAAGTGTATGTGTGCATGCCTGAGAAAAGGGTCCACGTGTGCAATTTTTTTGTTTCGTAGTTAATTGCATTTCTATATAGATCTAGTATTATTAAAATCACCTTTTCTGGTGATTATTTTCTTCTTTTTTATTAAGTTGCTTTTTTCCCCAGATATCTCAAAAACGTTGGAGAAATATTTTTATATAAACTCATCCAAATTGCAGAGGCCCATCAAAAGTTTTGTGGAGATGATTACGCTATGGAGGTTTTTTTTACACTAATTTTGGATCTTCGGGGCTTTAGAAATATAAATAGACATCTTGCATTATTGTTTCCCGCCTCACATAACCAGCAAACAGTCTTGCAAGGGGTGGGGGGCGGGTCTGCCGAAAAAGAGCTCTGAGCAGGTGTGCCTCATGCAAGAGAATAAAAGAGCTTGGTGCAAAAATGTCACACATAAGACAACAAAGGAGCTAGGTGCAAAATTGTACATCACACACGAGAGAACCAGTCATCCGTGCTGTGGTTCGTACAAAGTCGTTGACGTTATAACAAGACCTTTCCTTTCGTCACAGGTCGAAGCATTTTAAATAAATTTGACCCACCAGGAGGGTGCCATTGTCAGGTCTGTGTCACGGACTCGGGTGCATGCAGTACATTAAAAAAAAAAAAAGATATTCCCGTAGTGTGCATGTGTTGAAGCATGGGGGCCCTTTCACATTTTATTTCCTCCGTTTTGCAAGCCCTAGCATTTCAAAAACCTTCGACGGATTCAACCTTTTTTTGATTGAAAAAAGAAAAAGAAGGAAGTCCGTAATTAGAGTGGGAAGGGAGAATCACAGCGCCTGTCAATGGCTCTTTGGTGTTTGGAAGGGTGGAGCTGCGCCAAGTCGAGATTTTTCGTTTTCTGTGACATTTGTCTATAAAGTTGTCAATATGTTTTTTCTTTTGCTTGATATTTGTGCAGAAATGTAAAACGGACTCGCGGTAACAGATGTTCATGAACCGCTTTGCTATGTCACTAGTTGGTTATACTTCTCTCTCTGTCGGTTCAGGAATGTTGAGATGGGTATCTTTGGTGGAAAATGATTAAGTAACACCGTAAGCTACGTCAGTAGGCATTGTTAGCCAATTCTCTGGTCTCTGACAGAAAAAAAAGATGGCAGGTGAAATCGATAAGTTGTCAAATCCAATACAAAGCTGATGTTCTGTGAATTAAAATTTTGTTGTTGCTGTATCTTACTTCTTGACAGTGCGTCTCCCACATAGTTTTTTCCGACCTCCGCACAATTTTTGTCTATTATTGTACGCAGAAGCGCCGTTGCAATAGCTCACACTAATCCACCTACATAAATAGTAATAACAGTGGCGTCGGGTGGGGAGTAAAGTGAGTGTGTAGTTAAGAGGATGAGGGCTTGTCATGACCAAATATTGAGATTGCTCAGATAATGAAGGATGCATTATGACTGAAAAACAATGAAACATGCTTATAAAAAGGAAACATGAAAATATAAATAGATTCAAAAGTATTACAATCTTGCAAGTGGCAATACCATGTTTGAAACTAGAAAAATGGACTCACCTATGCGCATTTATACATGTACAAACATTGCGTCCTTTGTGTTTTATGTTGAGCAAATTTTCCGATGACTTTTTTGACAACAGAAAGCCGAAATTCTGCAAGTTGGTGTCGTCCTAGTCTCTTGACACTGAATTTATCTGCACGTAATAAAGAACTAAAGCGAGTTTCCAATAAGTATTCTACACGAAACATTGCTGCATTGAAGAACGAATATTATTAGATTCAAATTTAAAACTACCTCAACTCACTAATTAAATACAAAGGTGCTTGCTTCATTGTTTGTCTCATCTCCATACACAGGACGCAAGTATACACAGTACAAAATTAACACACTCAAAACGTCATTCAAGTGTAAGCCCTACACAATCAAAGGGCTCTGAAATCATCACTTAACTAAAGAAAACACAGAGCCGAGAGGAAAAAAGTGGG